GGAGAGGACGTTGGGGAGGGGAGGGGGGGGGGGGGGGGGGGGGGGGGGGGGGGAATCGGTATTGATATCGGTTATTGGCCAAATAAGTTTTAACATATCGGCATATCTGATATCGGCCAAAAATCCAATATCGTGCATCCCTAAAAATGTTCACATATACTCACAAAAATCAAGGTTCATGCTTAACAATCCAGGTAAAAAATCCAACAATGGTCAGTCAGGCCATCTGGATAGTTTCTTTTATTTATTTATTTTTTTTAGAGACGTTTCACCCTCCATCCGAAGGGCTTCATCAGACTGAGGAGTCACAAACAAACTGTTTTCCCCACAGTGGACCAACCAGTTTGCTGGTGATACGATGGTTTCTGGGGGCTGTCCTCTCCCCCGTCGACACCTCCCAAGCTGCCACAGCCAAAGTGGTTCAAGACATCAAAGTCCATGCTCAATCATCCAGGTAAAAAAATCCAACAATGTTCAATCAGCTGATCTGGACAGTTTCTTTATTTTTCTTTGAGAGACGTTTCGCCCTCCATCTGAAGGGCTTCATCAGCACTTTGGCTGTGGCTGCCTGGGAGGAGTCGACGGGGGGAGAGGACGGCCACCAGAAACCATCTCATCACCAGCAAACTGGTTGGTCCACTATAGGAGTGTGCTGGTTAGTGGAGAAAACAGTGTGTGGCTCCTCAGACTGATGAAGCCCTTCGGATGAAGGTCGAAACGCCCCTCAACAAAAAAAAACAAAGAAGAAAGAAACCATCCAGATGATCTGACTGAACATTGTTGGATACTCACAAAAACGTTTCATATTTTCGAACAGTAAAATTAACCAGACAATGTAAAACTTTCCATTCCATTGAAACTATCAACAAAGTGATTATTTTTTTTTAAATTTAATTTCTCTGCACTGTTTTGAACAACGAATCCAAGCAGTTCCTGTGAGCCCTGATGAGAAACAGTCAGCACACGGAGCCTTTGGGCGGCTGTAAAACATCTTGAGCCTCTTGAGTCTGCATTTTAACAGCTTTGTGGAAACAGACACTTCCTGTCAGCAGGACAGCTCTGTCTTCATTCTCCACTTTACCAAAAAGAAGAGGAAGGCTAACATCCTCCTCTTCCCTCATTAACATGCAGATTTGACTTGTTCTTCTTTAATCACATGACCCACCTGGCCTGAAGTCTTTTCTTCGTGGAAACTAATGGCCAATTGAAGGTCTGGTGGGTTGTCATAACGCAGACATGCCAACTGCAGCCGTCTCTGGGATAAGAAATAATAATAAAAGAAGCTAAATCTGGCTCTTATCATCTGAAAATGGATTCGTTAGAGAAGGAATCTGCTTTATTTTGCCCTTCTGCTGACACTTTGACACTGGAGCCGTTCACATGAAGACACAAAGACAGATTGCAAGTCCTAACTCGTGATGCACAGCAAAGTTCTGACTAATTAAAAAGCAAAAGCACTTGTTAAATAATTAACAGGAGCGTTAAGTCTTTAAAGGAAGAAGCCTCGGCTTCATGTTGACACCCCAGATGAGACGTTTCCAAGCATGCAGACACAATGTGACACTTGTAATTTAGTCTGAAGCTTTAATAGGAGGAAGATTACTTCTCCTCGGGCTGAAGGCGATCTGCTAGCTGGACAAGTATTGGGCTAAAATGTAATTTAGCCCCCAGCATGTCACAGTGGTGAAGCATGAGATGTGCATCTCACAGCACAATGCTCGTGCATGCTTGAGGTGAATGAAAGATATACTTTTTTTAAATTTTTTTTCCACATCAAGTTTAGCTGCTTCCTCCACAGCACATGCCTGTGTGCTCGTGTGGAATGACTCATTCATGCTTGTGGTGCACAAACCCACACATATTCTCACCCTGTCAGCTCTCCATCCAGAATCTCCATCACTACAGAGGGTTTACATTGACCTGAAACCGATGTGGTGGCCTGGAAACCTCAGCTCCTCCACCCTGAGGCTTTCTGCCACCCTGTAGCACATTTCCCTTCCCATCTTTTGCCTGTGACTATCAGTCTCCACGCTTCAGTTTCGCTCTGGGAGGCCAACCTTTCAGCATTTCCAGCAATGTGCCTCGGAAATCTGTTTCCAGGGCAACCGGGGTACCAAATACTCTCCCAGCAGCTCCTGGCTAGTGCCTCCTTTGTTTACACTTTTTTCCCCTTTATTTATTTCTGCAAGGATGTGGGAGTCAATCTAATGTTATCCACCCAGAGAGCAATAAATCAGCGTTTAATCGGAATTACATCCTTGAAATATCATGGAAGTAAGTGAAGTCACCACCTACACACAATCATTGGAAAGTATTGTACTTAATTACACCTAAAAACGCACAAAGAGGAGGAAGAATCCCTAAAGGAAGCGCTCCTGATACGCAGCTGCGCGCCTTGGAGTTTCCCCGTCCAGAGGCAAAACCCAACAAGTCATCACGCAAAATAAAAACAGAGACAATATTTGAATGTCAGCCTGGTGATTACTTTTCTCATTTATTAGACTTATTAAAACCCAACTCACGTCCACCACTTGTTTTTTTATTTTTATTTTTTTTAATTAAGAAGTCGTGCGCCTGCGCGTAAAAGCGAACTGAGAGCTGTCCAAGTGCTGAACCGAAGAAAAGGCGTTCTTCCTCGGTTTCTTAGACCGCACCCCCCCCCCCCCCCTCCTCTTCACGCACACCCCCAACATCGCCACCTGAAAACGGTTCCACTCCATAAGTCGCAGCACAAACCCACACAGAAGATCTGAACGGAACGCGACAGAAAAGGAGCTGATGCGTTTTTTGTTCATTTTGGGGAGTTTTCCATCTTTAAACCACAACCAGACTGACTGTCTCCCCCCGCCCTGCTCTGATTGTGTGAGTTTTCTGAAACTAAACTATGATCTGTGGCTGCGCTGAGGAATGCCCCCCGTGTTGGTCGGACTCCGTCAGGAAGGCAGCGGCGTCCCTGTTTGGATTAAATGTTTGACCAATGGAAACATATGGGAGACATAGAAAAGTGAGCACATGGGGAAACCACCGGGAATGAATCACTCCTTCATTACGGTCCTGGCAGCTTTAGTCACATATTTCATGGAGAACAACTTCAGGTGAGCAGATATCCTGAACCTCTGGATTCTTAAGATCTCTATTTGTCAGTTTATTTATTAAAACTAGATTAAATAAAAAGTGAACTTTGCTTTTTAAACTTAAAACTGCTCGTTTTAGTATGGTTACTCAGAAATTATTTTTTTTTTTGTTTGTTTTGAATATTCAAATATTTACCTACGTTTATTTTGTCCGTGCCACATGAAGCTGATATTTACGCACGTGGGTTTAGTCATTTTGACTGTTTTGTGCCATCTCAACAGTGTTCCTGTCACTATCAAAATTCGCAGCCTGCTGCTTTATCTCTGCAGGAATCTTGCATCACGAACAAATTAATCCTCTCTTAAAGGAGATAGTCACCAAATCCCAGACTATGTGTGCGCGCATTAACACATTTTTTCTGGTTTCCATGTGCCATCACTCCCAGGCAGCTTGCTGCTGCTGCTAGGCGACAGATAAGGTTTAACTCCTGCTTTCTGGACTGTGACTTCTTCTTCTTTCGTTCAGTTTTTTCCCCTGATCGAGTGCTTTTTCTCATCGTGTGTGCGTTCCAGAGTCACGGATGCCAAGGAGCACGATTCCAGATCCTCCTCCAACATGTCTCCATCAGATTTTCTGGACTCACTCATGGGTCGCACTTCGGGTTATGATGCAAGAATTAGACCCAATTTTAAAGGTTTGTTTATGATCATCTCACTCTTTGACAACAATATTTGCACACACTTCACCTCCTACACATTGCAAAATATAAATAGCCCCAGAACTGTCACAGTAAGTGCAAACACAACCATTTTTTTTATCACTTTTCCCACTGTTGCTATGATACTGTGCTACAAAAGCCTCTTGATAGCAACAATCAGCTCTTCAATTAACAGGAACAGTGACTTGAATTAACTTCCTCATGATGATGCTACCTGCTTGCTTTTATTTCTTGAAACTCTTTGAGTAAGAATCTTCATCTTTGTTTAATACATACAGTATATTACCTTAAAATCAGGAAAGTGAAGCTTGCAGAAATCCTCACAGCAGACACTGATGCCACCATGACAAGCCCAGATGATAGATGGGGCCCTGGTGGAAGGGCTGCAGGCTTCTATAACCTCCTTCACTGTTGTTGTTGCTTATATGTTGAGGACAAGCACAGCTAACAAGAGTGGTGTGGAAGTTCTCCACTGCAAGTTGTGGGATGTGATTGTTCAGGGTTAGTGGGTACCAGTAAAAAAAAAACAGGCAAAAGAACAAAACAGGAATTAGAAATACGACTTGTGGCAGAATATTGTTCTTCATTCACTTCAACGCTTTTCCTGGTTCACAGTTTCAGATTTTTCTGTCAGATTTGTGGCTTTCAAGGCTACACGTAAAAGTTCCTGATGATTTACAAGAAGTTAGAACAGGTCTTATCCAAATTCAATAAAAACAAAATGTGAGCAGCAGGGACTTCTGGGAAAAATACATTTTTATTTGATTGTTTCCCCCTAAACACATCAAGGCCATTATTACAAGATCGGAGTCTACTGTATGACAACTTAGATTATATATATTTTTACTATTTAAAGTTTTAAAAAAATCAAGATGTACCTCACAGCTGGGTTAACGTTTGACTAACTAGTTACTGACAGTATGCATTGATGTTGAATGATCCTGCAAATCCTCTGTATATATATATATATATATATATACAGTATTGTGTTTTTTTATATACACCATAATTTCCAGACTATTGAGCGCATCCAAATATAAGCCACGCCCACTAAATTTAAAAAGAAATAAAAGTGTATATATAGGCTGCTCTTGTTTATAAGATTAAAAAGGTTAAAAAAAATCTGACCAATGAAATTACCGAACAGGCAGGTCACAGTGGACCAATGAAACAGTCCACCTTAAAACACGAGATGTTTACACAGAAGGATTTTTTTAAGTTTTAATTAAATATGTACTGGTAACATACACAAATACTGTATGTATAGTATTTTTTTCTGAACAGTGCCTGTTACACAGCTGGGGCAAAAAAATAAAAAAATACAGTAGCCTGTACCAGGAAGTCACTGATCGCTATCTTCATCTTCCTCCTGCGCGAGCTTGTGCTGTCCTCCATCACACAGCTGTCTTGTTTTGAAAGGCAGGGGAGGGGGGCCCTCCCCGTTTCATTGGTCCACTGTGACCTGTTTGGTAATTTCATTGATCAGATGTTTTTTTTTTTTTTTTACATTTATTTATACAGTCATTGAGTCACGAGGACCCACCCCCCAAAAGAGACGTGTATTGGGCATTTGAGCACCCGGGTAAATGTTTTGGCAGCATGAAGCTCGTTAGCCTGTAAAAAAATAAAATCCATAAATTAACTGCAGCATTGTATAAGCCGCGGGGTTCAAAGTGTGTGAAAAAAGTAGCATCTTATAGTGCGGAAATTACGGTATATTATTTCCAATGGAAGAAACTTGGGTTCTCCATTTTACATTAAATAATGAGAAAAGCATTCTGTATGTTTGAACTCTTAACTTTCAGAAAGTGTCTCTTTAAAAAATATGAAATAAGGAAATGTAATTTTCCTACTATAAATTCCTGTTCTATACTAATCCAGACCTGGAAAACACAAAAAAACTAACTTCATACTTTTCAAACTTGCATACCCTGAATTATTGATTTTGCTGATTAAACCTGTTTGATCCTTCATTTGGACCCCAGATCCAGAGGTAGATATAGACTTAAAAGCATTTTCTGGTTTTACAGCCAGACAAACAGCTCTGCCCCTAAGAGACTGTACTATAAACAGTTTTGCTTGTGAACCTGCTACTTTGAAGAGCGCTGAACTGCGTTTCCGAAGGCTGACCTAGATTTTTGTGTCATACGTTTTGTTGTGAAGAGATAGAGCCTTTTTTTTATTTTTTGCTTCGGCTGGAAAAATGGAGCAACATGTAGACAAGCATAGGCAAATATTAATACCGAGTCCCATAAAATATTGATGAGGAAAACACAGGGGAAGGCCAGTGGGAAGAGCTTACAACTTCACTTATCAGCCTGGGAAAAACGATGTGCTGTGGCTCTAAAAGACATGCAAGTCTCACAAAGAGACTTCAGTTTATGTGGAGAAAAACAATTTATACCACTCACTGGAGCATGCTGGGTATGTTTACCTCACAGTGTTGGAGAGGAGATGCTAAAGTGACACCTTGTTCCTTTTTTGCAACCAATAACTCCAAATGTTTAGGATGGTTCAGATCTTTAAAAAAATTTATGAACAATTATTATTTGTTGCAGATATCTTATTGAACAACCTCAGTTTGTAGCGACAGGACAGGACTGATCTAATCTAAGCAAGGAAGCAATGAACTGCTGACATCTGAAAACAGCTCAGATCTCAAAATGTTATGAGGATTTATATGAACGCCAATTTTGAAACAATTGCAGCATCCTTAGCTTTGAAATACGTAGTTACTCTTTTAGAAATATTATGATATTCTTGCAGGAAGTGATCCACGCTGCACTGGAAGGGCTGTTGCTGGATGATTGCAGTTAACCATAAAATGTATTAAATTCTTATTCTTTAAACAGATGCACATCAGCTGCTGTGTATTTTCTATTTTAAACCGAACAGTGACAATGTTCTAGTCATTTTAGTCAACTCTTGAAAGTAACATTACATTGAAATCCATGTGCTATAGTGAGATTTCACTCAATCTCAACAGAGTGTGCTGGGGATCACCGTCAGCTGTTACAAAACCAAGTTTCACCTCATTATTTATAAAACTGAATTGTTGAATTAAAGCCATTTTTGTGTTTTTAGGTATTACTTGGGACATCCATGTTAAACTGTGTTGATTGTGAACGTTAATGTGTTGTAGATATGTATGGATATTGACCTAATTGTACTTTTAGTAGTACATTTTGGTATGTTTTTACTTCTTTTATTGTATGTTATGGTAACTGGTATCTATATTTATACTATCTGAAAGTTTAATTACAGTATATAACATGTTTGAGATTGGAGTTGTTTCAAAATAGCAGGAATCTACTTCCTCACTCAAATTAGCAGCTAGTTTGTTAGATGGTTAGAAATGATTTTTTTTATTTAGACTGAGTTTGTTCATATATTTTTACAACAGGTAAGATATTAACTATTCAAATGTTTCCACTGAACCCCACCTCAAAAGATCTATATTATTTTAACATATTTAGTTTAATTAACACAGATACCCTTTGTATATTTTATCATCAAAACGATGGATTTAACAACTAATTTTTTATCAGAACAGCTTTGTTCCCCACTTTTTTTTTTTTTCTGCTGATCCAATATTTAATTTTGTGCGTTTGCATGCTGATGATTCTGTGTGCATGTTTCTCCTATTCACTGTGCAAACAACAAGTTAACCCCCAAAGATTATCTTCATTAAAACATAAAACGTCATTACCAAATGTCATTAAGCTCACACAGCATTAAGTTTTGATTTAATTTGCTTTTTCAAAGCTTCGAGCCGAAAAGCAAACATAATTCCACAGCAACATATCACCATCTGAAAACATGCACTGCTTGTTGTATTAAAGCATGCTTGAATACACGGTGAAGCAGCAGCCAGATTTCCCTGTGAAGCATCTCCACTCACGTCAAACCTCGTCATCCTTGCTGGAACATATGATTTAAGGCTGTTTTCCCCCTTGTCATGTCATTCTCATTCCATCCAACAGGTCCCCCCGTAAACGTTACATGCAATATTTTTATCAACAGTTTCGGCTCTGTCACAGAGACAACCATGGTGAGTTCTTCTGCTCTTTTGATTGATGTTTTCCCTGTAAGATGTGTCAATGTGTTGTCTATCCCTCAACCTGCAGGTCCACCTGTTAATGTTACCTGCAACATATTTATCAACAGCTTTGGTTCTATAGCAGAAACTACAATGGTGAGTGGAGTGATGTGCTTGGACATATTTTAAGCCCTGAATCCATTTTTTCCCCTCCAACCAATATCTGCTATTTTTACATCAACATGTGCATTGATTTTAAACCCATTGCATAATCCATATACGCAGTCTGAGGCTCTTTGCAGATGTTCAGGTTTAATACGTTATCCAACAATTTCCAAACAAGCAATTTCGTTTAATTGCAGCTCATAAGAGACAATTGGGGGAATTTCAGAGAAGCTGGTGCACAATATGCAATAGGAGAAGCTGTCAGAGGGGTGAAGACATAAAACCTACAAGGCTGCATCGAATCTAATCAAGATTAAAGGATTCCTAATGAGCGATAATAACCTCTCATAACAAATGGAGAAAAATCGTGTTCTTTTGAGTTGTAGCTGGAAGACACGAGACTGCCAGGGAATTACACAGTTTTAGACAGGCAAATACTCTGCGCCGCCAATATGCTGATGAAATGTCAAACAACACAAAGGCTGTTCATCATCGTGACATATCAATTACTCAGAGCGACTGGGCCTTCTGACACTTCATCCTAAGAACTGTAAAGTCAGAGCTGCCCCCATCAGGGTCTGCTAATCCATCATTTATTTACCTTTCGGTCATTTCTAGCTAAGACAAAAGTAAAGTTTTTGAAAGGTCATATTTGTAAATGCAGCTTGCGACACTATTTCAGCAAAAGGACACATGGATGATGACTAGGACTGTTCGAGCACCAGCACATGATGGATAATTGAGCAAAATTCTAAATTATTTTCCCTCATACCCTTTTTTATTATTATTTGTGTGTGAAAGTAAGTAGTAAGAATGTATATATGTATGAGTGTAATATGTTTAAATACTATTTTAATGTTGAGCCTCTGTGTAATTGTTTGTGTACGTGATCATTTTAATCATGGAAAGCAGCCATGGTTGTTTTAATGTAATCAGATTCTGAAACAAGGTGGAATTACGGTTGTGGTGAGAAGTTTACAGATGAACGCCATTAATCTGGGACTTTAAAGGATTTATTAGAATCAATGTTTTGGGGTTTTTTTTCCAGGGTGAAATCATGAAACAACACATCAACGATTTTTTTAAATAAGAATTGGGCACACAAGTTTGAGCTTATTGTGATTTCTCTCTGACCCACACAGAACTCAAATATCTACATTGGGTTACAGATACTTTAGGGCTTTGGGAAGAGCATTGCAGAAGCGTCATGTTAGCTTCTTCTTTCTAATCTGAAACCAGTTTCGATGTGTTTGACACGTTTGTCTTGCTGGAACACCCAGCTGCATCCAAGTGAAGTGAACTGCGATGTTGAACAATTTGAGGGTAGTCCTCCTTCTTTATTATTTAATCCTCTTTGTTCGATTCATCATTGGAGCAATGCATCATGATGCGCCCAACACCATGCTAGACACGTGTTTTTAGGTTTGAAAGCCTCACCTTGCTGATGTAAAACTTCACTGTGGACAGTTTCCAGTTCATGGCAGGCTTGAGCCTTAGTGGCTCCTGGGTTGTTCCTAAACATCTTAACCTACTGGCATTTCCTTTCATGTGACGACTTGGGTTTACGTCCAAACCCTGGCAAAGGGGTGACCCATCCAAATAACATGCACACGCCTGTTAGAACTGATGATGTTGAAATCTGACATGGTTGAGCAATGACTCCGAAGAACTTTCCAAATTTATCAAAATTCCAATTTTCATTGGGTCTTCAAATTGTTCTGAGTTTTACTCAGTTCAACCAATGCTGTCAAACAAATCAGGAAACCTGCAAGCTGCAGTCAAGCTCATCATGAGCACTAATGAGAACTTATTAATCCTTGGTGTGTAAACGTCTGACTACAACTGTACATCCACTTCAGATCTATGGTGGTTTGCTTGCTTTATTTGTTTATTTGATCCTACTTTATCTCAAATAGTTACTCTTGTTAGGTATTTTAAATCCTAATTAGATTTACTTATGTTTTTTTTTTGTACCCATCATAAAAAGAGTTGCATAATATTCAAATATGAACATGTGTGGCAGATCTCAAAAGTCACTGTGCAGCAAAGTGTGCCAAGATGCTTGTGGTCTCCGCAGGATTACAGGGTGAACATCTTCCTGCGGCAGAAGTGGAACGACCCTCGGCTGGCGTACAGTAAATACCCAGATTCCTCTCTTGACCTGGACCCGTCCATGCTGGACTCCATTTGGAAGCCTGACCTGTTCTTTGCCAACGAGAAGGGCGCCAACTTCCACGATGTGACGACGGACAACAAGCTGCTGCGCATCTTCAAGGACGGAACCGTCCTCTACAGTATCAGGTGAAGCTCTGGACATTTAATACGATCATTTTTGCAGAGTTGCACAGCATTAGTTAAAAAATGATCTACAACGGAATCAAGTGCTCTGATACATTCGTAACTCCAGAACACATTCACTTCTCGCTTGTCTTACATTTCCTCTCCAACTTCAAAGACTGCCAATCTAAAGCATGCAACTTTAAATTGATTTGATCTGTTATGATCACTCCTTTGAAATAGGGTAATGCATTGAACGTTAGTGAATTCCCAGGCGCGGTACAGATTTTTCTTTTATGGAAAGAAACACTGATTAAAAAGTGCATGCTAATCTCAGGGGCTGTGGTTGAATCTGAAGCCAAGAAAGAGCCTAAAGCAAAGAAAAGAAAGTGCCGTTTTCTCCATTTTAATCTTTCTGCAGGAAACAGTTACAGACGTGTGCAACTGATTCCAACTGAATAGCATTTAAAAAGGCATTTCAGTTCTAAATTTAAACAAATCTCAGGTACAAGATTTGAAAATGGGCTGTCTTTCATTTCTATACAGCCCCTGTCACACACAACCGTCGGTATTTTGTGCAATGATGCAACAGAACTCGGATCAATTTCGAGTCCATTTGGAGAGCAGCTCAGCAGCTGAGAGGTGCACAGGTGTTGAGGTGGAGTGAAAGAAATGAAAGGTGGTTAACAGCACTCTGCACTCGTGGGAGAAACGACGGAGCGGGCAGACCGCCGGCCACAATGCATCACTGAAACAATAAGTGGGAATAATGAAAGTGTGATGGGAACCTGCTGAAGGGAATCCCACGAGACGTGCCGAAGGTTCTGACAGGACAGAAAATGCACCCAATACCCAAAAAAAAGAAAAGTTTTTACCAGGGATTTCATTTTTAAGCTAATTACTTTTAAATTATCTGTCAAGGACCAGTTCAAGGTTTAATAATTCAGTTTCTTGCCAAATCAGAGAAGGTATTTCGGTGTGTAACTTTATTTTACTCACAGGTTGACTCTCATTCTGTCGTGTCCAATGGATCTGAAAAACTTTCCCATGGACGTTCAAACGTGCACGATGCAGCTGGAGAGTTGTAAGCACAGATTTTCTCTAGACTTTCTACAGTGAGTACGCTGCAAGTTTTCTATATGACCATCAGTTCATTTCTGTTTTTAGTTGGCTACACCATGAATGACCTGATCTTTGAGTGGCTGGAGAACGGCGCGGTGCAGGTTTCCGAGGGACTCACCCTGCCTCAGTTTATTATGAGGGAAGAAAAGGAGCTGGGCTACTGCACTAAACACTACAACACCGGTTAGACAGCAAACACACCATAATACTGCTGTATTGTAAACAATGATTCACATGATGTATTTTCAATTTACATACTTCTGCATACTTTGTGCTATTTTAGCCAATTCAGAACTTTCAGCTCATTCGGGAAATAAGTGCTATGACTTTTGGTTTATGTAGCATTCATACTTTTCAATAAACTTAACTTTATTAACATCTTTTCCCCATACAAAAACACTCTTGAATTGCAGTAACATTGTTCTCTTTGAAAAATGCTTCAACATACTAGCTCTATTTATTTCTTGGTGTGCCACTTTTAGCCACAATTTAGCTACTTATAGCTTTTAGCTAAGTTCTACTACTTTCAAGTTCAAGTTCCTTTATTGTCATTCGCATCACATGTGGTACATGATGTGAAATGAAGTTGTGTACTCAAGGTTCCAGTTAGACCCTAAATTAGCCAAAACATAAAGTATAAAAGGAAACGTACATAAGGATCTAAGATATACGCTAAACAATAATAATGTAAAATAATACGGTGTATTAAACAGCAGCCTGAATATGAGTCTGTAGTGAGCAGATAGGTATGAATGAATGGCAGCAGCATAAGATCAGCAGCATGGACAATCAGCTAGCTTTATGCTACTTTAAGTTTTTAGCTAGCATTTTGCTTATTTTTGCATTATTATTGCAGCTGTTTTTTTTCTTCTTTTGCTTCCCTTTTGCTGCTTTGAGCTTCTAACCTGCATTTCTTTTTAATTTTTTTACTTTCAGCTAGCCTTTTGTTACCTTTAGCTTCTCGTTAATCTTTTGATAACTTGGCCTTTTTCTGTTCTTTTAGCTTTTGGCAACTATTTTGCCACTTTGGTATTTAGCTAACCTTTTGCTACTTTTAGGTAACATGCTACATTAGCTTCTAGCTACCATATTGGTTTTGTAGCTTTTAGTTAGAATTATATTAATTTTGCTTTCAGCTAGTGTTCTGCTTCTTATAATGTACCTCTTATCTAGCATTCTTGTTCTTTTAGCTTTAACAACTCAGTTTCAGCTGTCTGAGCAAATGTCATCAATCGTTCAGCATTCACACTGATGTTCACGGATTGTCATTTCTTTAGTTTAACGTTTCCTCCCTAATAAAAACTGGATTGCTCTACTCGTGTGTCATGCTGTTCAACAGGTAAATTCACTTGTATCGAAGTGAAATTTCACCTGGAACGCCAGATGGGCTATTACCTGATCCAGATGTACATTCCTTCCCTCCTCATCGTCATCCTCTCGTGGGTATCGTTTTGGATAAACATGGATGCTGCTCCTGCCAGAGTTGCGCTGGGCATCACCACTGTGCTCACCATGACTACTCAGAGCTCTGGATCCAGAGCTTCTCTTCCAAAGGTAAATCTCGTTTGTCTTTACTTGATTTTCAGGTCAAATATAAAATTGTTGAGGATTTTTTTCTTTTGGATGAAGACAAGGAAAAATAATTTTTGATGACACTTCAGCTGCACACACGATTTAATCTTTAAGCGTTTCGAAAAGCTTTGGTTCCTTTGCCTCTCATATCAAAATAAAGATGCTGATGATTTCTTCCAATAACCAGTTTGTACACATATTCATTTTATACTGATGTCAATTAAAATTTAGCTTTTTTCCCCCCTCATCGGCAGCAAAGACACAATCATCTAAAGCATGTGTACATGACAGATAACTGTGCTCGACTGCAGCAGCATATTCAGTTATGGAAAACAACAATGCACTCAGTGTGACGAGCACTGCAGCTCACTGAGTAAATCTCAATGATCAGTCACTCAACCTCATCATTTTCAAAGGCTTCAGAGATGCCATAACAGACATGAAAGACACATGTGCTGATAAATATTTCAAGAAAAGCCTTTGAGAGCTTTGGCTCGTGAAAACAATACATCAATATGCCGTAAGTGTACTCAAATAACTGAGCTGTTTTCTTCACATGCTAATCAGTTGTCACGAAGAGACAGGGTCGCGGTGATGATGAGAGAGAAACAAGCTTCCAACTTCATGCCCAACTTTTCTAAAAGTAACGGATCCAAATCAAAACTCCAAACTAAAGATCTGTTTGTTCAGAGTTAAAGGCAATCATCCCCCGCTGCTAAATGCCAAGCTTTTGCTGACATTAAAAGCAGCTCAGAAACACTTGTTAGCAAACAGCATCAGTGATTACAGCAATTTAGACGTCACAGTTAACTGAGGAGCGAATCAAAGAGAATACAGCAGATGCACGCTACAATTTAAATTTCACTTCCAGAAGTGTCATTTAAAAAAATCGGATTACATTTTAGGCTGCCTCAAAAATTCACGGTGCATTTGAACTGTGAACTTGTGTCGCCACGTCGAAGGGATCCGACTCAGGAAATGTGTTTTCTCTTCCAGGTCTCGTACGTGAAAGCCATTGATATCTGGATGGCTGTGTGTCTGCTCTTTGTGTTTGCTGCGTTGCTTGAATATGCCGGGGTTAACTTTGTCTCCAGGCAACAGAAAGAGTTTCTCCGCCTCAGGAGAAGACAAAAGAAGAACAAGGTAGCTTTTCAAAGTCTGTACAATGTTTGTTATTGGGATGGCGAACTATTGAGGGGTTCTGGGGTTAATGAGTCCGATCAAATCATCTCAGACTATCAGATTATCTCAGTTGTTCTAAAGAGTTATAATGGAATGATTCTTAATGAGCAAGGCAATCCACCGACACAGACCTGAAGATGGGACACATGAACTTGTGCACTTTTATGGATGCCCAACAAACAAAAGCCTTGTACATTTCTAATTGAAATTGGTTTACATCTATCAGAAGACCATGTACAGTAGATCCTTGAGTCTACCCAATCTAATGCTCCAACTTGGATTTTCAGTATAAATGAGTGTTAGTCTTGTAAGATTACATTGAAGAACTCCCAAGGTTCATTTCTTCCAAAGATACATTTGCTGATTGCTAAACAAGGAAGGGTCTGAGCACTTACAGGAGGAAAAAGTTTGGGTTTTAGGATTTGTTCAAGACCCCGGACAACAAGAATGGTTAAAAAGTGTATTGTAATGCAGCTGCTTGAGGTCAGAATCCAGTGGTGGGACCAATCTGCAGAGATATGACAGTGAGTGGACTGAATATTTCTGTGAGCGAGATGATGAACAGACAGACAGTCACTAATCTTCTCAAGCAGGAGAGGTGGAGGCCACTTGTAAGAGTTGGGCAAGATGACGTCACAGCTACTGGGTGAAGCGCAGATGCAGGGCAGAGCTGAGGTGAGCGTGGTCAGAAGGGTAATCCAAAAACGAGGTCCAGGAGTAGAAGTCGGGGTCCTACACTGGAGGTCAGAGATCCAGATACAAATTCATAGGGTAGTCCGTGAGTCGTAGTCGTCAGGCCAGAAGGAGTAGTTCGTAACGAGATCAGAAAGGCAAAACGAGAGCAGGCAGATCGGGGTTTCCAAAAGGCACGTGAGAGGTCAAGACATGAAGATCAGACAAGGCTGTGAACAGAACGCTGGACATCTACTTCCGTGAAGGGTTCGATAATCTGGCAGAGTAGAGTGGTGAGAGGAGAGCAGAACGGGTGCAGTGAATCAGTGCTGATGAGGATGTGGGTGAAGAGGGGGCGGGGCAGAGTGACACAGAGGCAGAACATGACAGTACCATTCAACTATTTTAGTTTGTCATGGAAAATTGTGTGTTTGATTAAAAGAAAAATAATAAAACATAATGCCTTGTGACAATGTTCAGTCAGGTCATCTGGACAGTTTCTTTTTTGCTTTTTCGTCCTTCATCCAAAGGACTACTTCAGTCTGAGGAGTCACCAAACAAACTGATTCCCACAAACATCATACTCCATAGTGAAAAAAAATAAAAAAAATCAGTTTGCTCGTGCTAATTTTTCCACTATGGACTATGCTGTTTGTGGGAATCAGTTTTGTTTGGTGGCTCCTCAGATTGAAGAAGTCATTCAGATGAATGACAAAACATTTCAGCAAAAAAACAAAACCATCCAGATGACCTGACTTTACATTGTGGGATTTCTACCTGGATCATTGAGCATGAACTTTGGCGTTAACACCTTGTGGTTGTAAAAGTGTAAAATATAGGTTATAGTATAAAATGACAAAAATACAAGAATATATTTTAACATTTCCCTTTTGAAGAGGTGATGCACATTATGGTGGCAAAATTTAGCCTGAACATCTGGAATTTTTTTTATAAATACCATCGCATTATATTAGAATTGATGTACAATAATTAATTGTACATCATCTTTGCTTGGCTTCAAAACATTAAAGATGACTAAATCAATACTTGTATGATGTTTATGAAGTGCCAAAGTTTTACACAAAGGTCTTACATCATTAGGAAGCACTCATAGTGTTTGCTGGGGATAACTCTCAGCTACTACCACACTAAGTTTTAGCTCAATATTCATTAAATTCACAGTTATAACCATTTTCTCTGTGGCTTCCCTTATGAATAGAAGAAAAAAAAAAGAAGCAGAAGGGAAACGTAGTTGGGAAATATAAATTAAACATGTCTAATACCAGAAAAAATATTTTAATATCTTTCAGTTTCCTCTCAAGTTTTTAGAACACATTGAAAAATGTTTTTATTGTTTGGCTGAAATTAAGATTTGTCACCTGAAGCAGTCGTGTTGTACTTTTTCATTAAACAGTTTTTTGTTATCCTGTCAATTTTAATTAAATCCAAGTATTTTTTGTCACGTCTGGTGATTAATGTTAATGTCAAATGATGGCACTGCAGAAACTCGTGCCTCAGGCCATGACGTCCGAGCTGCTGCGGTTTGAAAACTTGTTTTTCTGTTTTTCAGGACGAAGATATGCGCGAGGGCCGCTTTAATTTTGCTGGGTACAACACGAGTCAGTGCATGCCGGCGAAGGATGGCTCTGCCATTAAAAACGCGGTTCCCGCTTCCAACCCGCAACCGTCAGCCCCGAAGGACATCGACGCCATGAGGAAAAAGTTTGTGGACCGAGCCAAAAGGATAGACACGATCTCCAGGGCTGCCTTCCCTCTGGCCTTTCTCATCTTCAATGTCTTCTACTGGGTTACCTACAAGATCATTCGACACGAAGACATCCACCAAAACTGATGACGCTACTGGTCAAACTCTTCACTTCAGTCTGAGAAATGCTCAGAAACTGTGTATGGAGAGGCACCATGGCAGTAATGGTGGTGTTCTTTCAGGGATAACAGAACGCTCGTGCATCGTATGATGAAGCTCATCTTCTGATAATGTGAAGATTCTCGAGACACAAATGCTTTATTTGCTCCTGTATCACAGTCTGATGTTTTCTGAAGGTATTTAAAACTTAACAGCAAAAGATTGGAGCAGATGGACCACAATGACTCAGCCTGCCTTGGCATTAACGCAACCGAGGAAACAAAGTAACATTCCGTAGATATTTTGTGACAGTAGGGTAGCTCAGACTTTTTGTGATGCAAAATTTCTTATCAAGGGTGTTCGGACTGTTTTATAGTGTACTATTGTCCTGACACTTCCTCTCTGTTCAAAATGTTCTGAACTTTACAGAGAAAGCACGTCCACACACGTCCAACATAAGCCGCTGCATTTACGTCTCAGGCACGATGAAAATCTGGAAATCGGGAATTGGAGACTCCATTTTTTTTACGAAATACCCGAGGCCTTAGACATCAAAGATTTGGTGAGATGAAGTGCCGTGCTCTTCTATTTTTAGTGGTCTATCACGGCTGAATGCACGCTTTGAGCTTTTCTACCAAACACCCAAAGGTATTTCTCAGTGCTTACTTTTTTCTTTATCTCCAAAAGAAATTCACAACTAGCTGATGTCACGTAAAGATGTGATTTACACCCCCACCCCCCATCCCACACCCCCCACTATGTGTTCTAAATTTGCTTTAGATTTTGTAGCAGTTTCTTGGATAAACTATCAGGTGACGTACCAGTGAGCCCACATACTCTGACTGTGCACCTCATAACTCAGTGTTACCATGATTTATTTATTTATACCCCCCCCCCCCCAAGTAATAGCTAGGATTTCAGAGTTCGAGAATATGTTTTGTAGATTTAGTCAAAAAAATATTTATTGTGATGAGTGATGGGTTATGTTAATAAAATTATATATTTATGTAAACTTATTCAGCTTCCACTGTGGACTGTTTTTCTTCACTTTGTGTGTTTCTGGAAGCAATCGACACCGAAGGACGGGTCTACAGAACCTTCATAGTACCGAGCAGCTAAAGTCAATTGCACTCCGGGTATACTGTAGTGAAGAGCTCTTTATTTGAATGTTATTCATAAAAAAAGGCTAATTTACTGGCTTGTATATCAATAAAACTGACTGTGCACCATATTTATCTCTCTTGTAATTTGTAAGGAAGTTCTGTATTCTTAATTAATAGTGTTAATTGAAAAAAAAACAGCCAAAAAGTGAATGAAAGAAAAAAAACATGCTCTTTAATAATCATGGCCATGAATATATTGATCCTGGGCTTCTAATGATTTCATTAGAAACATTATTTTTCCACGATGGAATCAATCTCCAACCAACAACTTCAGTGATTTTAAAAACATTTGGGTGCACAAGTTAGAATTTATTGATGATTTTCGCATGAGGGTCAAAATTGTAAATCCATAATCAATCACTTAAACCTTTAGTTAAGATGTTCTGGTGTAGAATGTCTAAACTTGACAGGATCTATTAACTTCTTGCTCGTGATCATGATTGACTGCAGCTGGTAGTTTCTCTGGAAGCACTCATTCGATTGAACAATATATTGTGCACACACAATTTATTTTTTTATTTTTTTCAAAAACAGTATTTTTTATTTGTCATATTAAGGTTGTGGAGCAGCTTCAGCATGATCTCTATTGAAAATTTGTGAAACTGTGTTTTAAAACCAGGACCGTACCAGGACATTTAGGAAACCAACTAAATAAATAAACAAACCACTAATCTGTTAACAGGACGTGTGGATATAAATATATATATACTGGACATTTAGCCAAATACTTTATATATCTGAGCATCATGTGCATAAGAGAACAAACAGAATAAATTCAAACTCCTGCACCCATTTTTTGTTTTAAAATCATTTGAAGTTGTATGATGCATAATTCCCTTTATTTAATAGTCCACGTAATAGTTTTAATTGCTCAATTAAAGCTATGAAACACCCAAATTAATAAGACATTCATGCTCATGATCAATGTATGTAATTTTCTGACCACAATTAACATAAAGCGCACATATTGTTGTAGTTGGAAATCAGATGAAAGAAAATGACAAACTCTGCCTCCTCTCGACTCCAAGCCGATGTGTCAGAGTGATGACAAGCTGCGGATCACTGGGTGGCCTGGGGTGACACAGATTTGATCTGACAGCGGGTTTCCAGCATGAATCAGATGATAATGGACTTCACACTGTAGTTCAAATATTCTGTCGCTTGTTGTTTGCCTACCAGCTGACTGAAAACAGAAATGAAAGGAAAACTGAGAGAGAAAACCCCAATGAACCTTATCTGCACAACATGTTTACTTAGATGGAAAAAATCTCATATATAACAGCTGAGCTCAGCGTAACAGCACAAGAAGAGAAAGCTGAAAATGTGTGCAGTAATAATATTACAGTATTATTAGTTTTACAAGAAAAAGATAGGCACTGAAATATGTTTGTGTACAAAAAAGCTTTGAAATTTGGCCTTTTAGTGAAGATGTTGAGAACATCCTTTCATAAGTTGAGAAAGAAATGTCTAAAAGTTGATCCGTTTTGTTGAGACTTGGTGACTGTGAATCATGGCTGGATACTTTATTGATCTTTGCAGGAAATACATCAGCATTACTTCAGAACGCCACCTTTACTTCACCTCATTTTTATATTAAACAACAATGCATATCTCCTGAAGTTGTATAGGCAGTTAATATCTTACCTGTTTTAGATAACTTTTGAAGTGGCCTCAGTTTTATTTCTGATGGATGAACAGGAACAAGACTAAAACGGATTACCTTTGAACAACTCAAATCTAAGCACTGTTACTTTAGTGTCGACAGCACAAGTGCATATCCGTTTGACCCATTTGACCATATCATGTTTGTACGTCTGAGTCGACTGCTGTTTCACATAGTTGAGCTCTCAAACGTGCACTCACCTTTGTAATTATGGGCTAATGAGCTGCAGACCTACTGGATTTTATCTCTATCAGTGTTACGCTCAATGTGCTGTTCCTGCAAACACCTCACCCATTTGAGTTCATTCTTTCCTTACATCTCACATTAATATGAAAGCATCCGATTCATTGTATGCACACTTTATACACCGGTTTACAATTTCCTTCTGTCTTCGCTACAGATGTAAATACTAATGTTTCTTTGGTCACTTTTCCTGCTGAAACATGAGCAGAGATTGTGACTAAAGTTTGGCCATTTGTCGTATCTGGGCCTTCTTACAATCAAACACTGGTGAGGTTTGTCCATTAATAAATAGACAAACATATAGCTTGATAAAACCTTTTTAATAAATCATATAAGAATAAGATTACAGTTTATATTTCTTGGAATATTGTGTCAAATACCATGCTTTTTTTTTTTTCAAATTTATTCTATAAAGAGCATCTCAGCAGCTCCGACCTGGTGACTCCAACCTTTAGAACCACTAAAAAGTGTGACTAAATGTTCATTATTTCTTAATAAATCATGAGAAGAAACTAGAGGTATTTGCCTTCTTTGTGTTTCTATACTCTTTTATTTAGCTTACTTTAATTTGCCAACATTTTTTACACGAAAAACACAAGTGATGAGAGTATCACAAAAAAACTGCTATTTAATAAACACATGATTATTGATCTGCCTTTTTTGTTTAGTGACGAATGCTAACTGTTTTAGGTTTATTTGTTGCATCAGTCATATATTTTATTCACCACTCAACACTTATAGACTAATCTGTGATGCCAACCCTCACATGGAGTCATTCACAACACAGCCAAAAACAATTATTTAGGCATAAAAGGATGCAACATCCTTCGTTCAAGCAAATTCTGTAAAATCATTTATAACTAAAAGCATTTGCAACAATTCACTTTCAGGGGGATACCACTTTTCAACATTTGCACAATTTATTTGGATGCATTGTATGATCTAAAGCAAGAAACAAGGGTTGCTATAGCAACTGCACAGTTGCTGATATAGGAGCAGCGGGAGAGAAAAGCTCAAACACAATGAAGAAAAGCAATTACGCACATTTTTGGAAATGGTAGTGCTTATGTCTACATTCTGCACTAAATAGAAAGGAAAAATTATTTCATTTATTGTTTATTTATGGAGGGACAAGTGTAAAGCATTAATACCGTACACCACAACATTTTTAGCCTGGGCTAATTTGCAATGCCAGTCCTTTGATGGGCCTTTAGTATTTTCATGTTGATGAAATAAATTCGGCTATTTTCAGAGGGATTTGTTCAGATTATGCTTCAGAGATGCTACTCAAACTGCAAAACTGGCACTAAACGAAGGAGAACCTGTACTCTACACGTGTGCCATATATTTAATACATTTTGCACCAAAAGCTGAAAAGTGCGCTCTAGATTTACTGTTTTTGCTACGGCCTTGACTTTGTTGTTCACTTCACAAGTCAAGACATAAAGCATCTGATGACATAACGTAAAGCCTGTCTACGGTCACATCGTTTTTAGTTTTAAGAATATGTTCCTTTAATTTAAGTCAGGGATGTTTTGGAACGTTAACAGCCAAAGCATTTAGTTTTTCCCATGATGGATGCCTGACTAGTTAAAATCATAACAATTATGTTCCATTGTTTAATGTTCGCAACATAATGCACTTTTCAACAGAACGAATAAGGCTCATATATAAATATATTATTATTGTCACAGGGTTCTCTTCCACGCAAACATTTTCTTGAATCTGAATGAAAGTTCTCCAAACAAACCCACTGGCAAGTCAAGTCTTCAGCTTCTGCCGGCACAACTTGTGCTTGTGAATGCGATGCGGTCCTCTGTCTGGGAGAATGAGCCGTTTTCTTGCAACTTGCCATCCCACTTCTGACACCAAACTGTCACGGGGTTCTTTTCCACACACGCATTTTCTTGAATCGGAAT